TCTCTGCTCTCTCTCTCTCTATCTCTATCTCTCTATCTCTATCTCTCTCGCGCGGACGTGCACACGCTTAAGCTTTCTCTTTCTCGCTCTTGCACACCCGTGGGGCCATACACAGGACATGGGGGGGGGGGGGGAAAGAGAGAGAGAGAGAGAGTGAGAGAGAATGAGCATCCGCCTGTCCTGCTCGTTGCTCTCTCTCTTTCTCTCTCACACACACACACACTCATGCATACTCACATGGCGTGTTCTCCCGTTGCTGCCCGTTACTTTCTCTTTTTGTTCTTTCACACACACACTCATGCACACAGGTGCAGGCGCGGTCTCTCTCTCTCTTCGAGGGAACGCCCGTCACCAAAGGTCAGGGTTGTAGGCACTATCGACAAAACGGCCCGAAAAGAACGTATTTTCAGAAGAAAAATAAAACACGGAATATATATATTTTTTAACAGGATACCTATATTACCAGATCGGACATCTGGGACCCCCCGACCGTCTGGGGTTGTCCGATCAGACAACTGGTCGGATGTCCTTTCCGGACAGTCTGTCCGAAGCCCGAATGCCCCCCCCCCCCCCCCCCAACAAAAAAAAAAAAACAAAAAACAAAAAAACAAAACAAAACTATGCTGTGTAGAAAAATCAATTGAACAAAGTTTGCCTTGGGGTTACATCGGAATTCTGTATCAAATTTAAAATAAAAAATAAAATTGAAACACCCTCAATTGTTAGTCGCTCATTTTGTTAGTCGGGTTGTCACTTGGTCAATTGTTCGATCAATCTATGACTCAATGATTGAAATTAAGTACATGTCTGGTGTGTGTGTGTGTGTGTGTGTGTGTTGTCTGTGTGTGTGTGATGATGTGTATGAGCACATATTGCAGACACTTCTGCACAGTAAAAACCATGCACCATACCATCGCAACACTTCAGGAGGAGAATACGCATATGAGCGGAGTCGAGTCCAAAGGCCAGGAAGGGAGAACAACAAAACACACAGGCCACATACAACAAGACAACACATAAGTTGGAGGGCATATGGAGGAGGGAGGGTAGACAACACACAAGCAACAAACACGGCAAGCAAATTAAAAAAAAAAAAAAAAAAAAAAAAAAAGACCAAGGGCAAAAAGGCATGAGGGGTATAGGACGACATACAACAACAAGCACATAAGGCAGGCAAATCAGAAAAAAAGTTAAGTCCATAAAAGTTTCAAAGACCGAAAAAAATAAAAATTGATGATGAAAGATTGTTTCGTCGGAGTTTCACCAACTCATCAGGAGGCTGAACCCTCGACAAACTGCGGGAATCTCTATATTTGATGGTTTGTGTCATGAACCCTTTGGCCCTTGTTGAAGGCAGACTGTCCCCAAGCGGCGGGCGGCGACCCTATGGAGCACCAGGCAGCACAGTAGAGGCAACACGACTGCACAACACCAAAAACGACTGCAAGAAATGACATGGCATGCAAGACCAAACACGGACGGCACGACCAGCGGATAGGCAGCAAGGCAGCCGAGCAGCGAAGTGCAAGGCAACACCGACAACACAGCCACACCACACAGCGAATACAACAACTTGCAGAGAACCACATGCAAAGCAAGCGGGACAGACAACAAGGCAGCGGTGTAGTGCAGACGAGGCAGTCCACACGTCCAACACGAAGCAAAGCAGCACATCACCTACTCACATCACAAGTGAACCCTGCAGATTGTTGGTTCCCACCACTCACTAAGCCATGGAGTCACTCCGACGAGCATCTGTGATCACCTACAGGCAACACAGACATCCCGAACTGAGCGGCCCCCATAAAAGTGTCGTAGGCACTCCAAACAAGGAACCATCGATTTTTTGGCACTACTTAAGGGTGCTCAGTTTGGGTAAGCAAAAACACTTGGAAAAAAAATCAGGGGGAGGACAGACAACAACAAGAAAATAGATAAACATACAACTGATTGTGTGTCTGTGTGTGTGTGTGTGCGTGTTATAGATTTTCCCCACAACAACCCTAATTCCACCCATATGAATAGATTCAGAATTAAAACAGTCTTTCACACTTTGTCCTATTCCAAATAACGTGAGCATTTGAGATGAGACAGTCACAATCCAACATATTAAAGCAATTTTATAATTAGACAGTTTTTTGGTTGTCCTCGGGGTACCCCTTCCATTGTTCTTGCACCTCCCTTTTTACTGTGCCTCTTACGTACAAGGTTGCCCACGTTGATTGTGGTTGAGCGGCGGCTGCCCACATCCTCATGTGCCTTCACGACCTGCTTGCTGTGTGTCTGATTTTCGGTTTCCCGTTGAAAGGTTCAACAGTCGTTGAACCCCCGTTACAACGTCACGCTATACCTCGTTAGAACGCGGTACAACGAGGCCCGCAATTTTTTTCTCGCGGGCAAAAAAAAAAAAAAAAAAAGGGGTTGTATATTTTTTTGCGCTCTACATCCCTTTTTTTTTAAATTTAAATTATTTAAAAAAAATAAAAAACCGAACCAGACTAAAAACACATCGAATTTTTTCTTTTTTTTTTATTAACCGATTGATTGATTGATTGATTGGT